GCGCTATTACGAGGAGAGAATAATTGTTGTCAGGCGCAGGGATCAGCATAAATTTCTGCATGAATTATACTGTTCTTAGCACAGAGCCTTTCGGGTACGCGCCTCGACTCTTTGGAAAAATTATCTCGACGCGACGTCCCGTTAACATTATACCAAAGGGTTCAAATTAATGAGTTAAATTTAGCTGTATGTGTAGCTGTATATATATTCAAATAATATGAAATAATATATTACAAAAAAATATATACGTATTCAAATATTTTAATATTTAATATTATTAAAACTATTAAAATATTATTGTACAATTCAGCCCTGAAGAGGTTAACTTTTTTTTACAATAGACAGAAATGATTTTAATTCTCGTTTGGTTGCAGTTTATTTTGTTCATATTGGTACAGAATGAACAATACGAAGACGGACGAAGACAGTCATGAAAATTATATAAAAATAATTTTTTTAATCTTTTATTGCATCTTAAAGTGCATTTATTCTAGGAATTTGTTGCGAAAAAATCTGTTCGTTATATTTCATATGTTTGTAATAATGAATAGTTCAACACGATTAGAATGTTGTTCCAATTATTGATTGAATTTACAACATATTTTAAAAAAGAACAGATGATTAATATGTAAATATGAATGTTCGATGAAAAATTCATTATACCAGAATAGTTCAGTTCCAGGAATTGCGTTTAATTAAATTTCAAAAAAAATGTGTCTCCTGCGAATTATTTAAATGAAAGATTCCTCCGTATACCGAGTGTTAGATGATCCTGGAATCAGAATTTCAAACACGTTATCCTCGAAGCTTCCAGGTATCGAAGGTATTCTATCTGCACACGCGATACCCGGTTTCGATTTCAATGGAAATTAAATTTAGTATTGTCTTCAATAGATGGAGTATGCTAATTTAAACTGAATGATTTTATTGAAATTCAATGTAAATATCTATATTGTTATAAATATAGTTATATGTACATTTCTTTCAGAAATAAAAAGAGAATGTAATTTCTAGATCATAAATATGATTTATTTATTTTTGAAGATTGAACGATTTCATTTCAAATTAAATTTATAGTTGCAACTATTGAAAGAATTAAGTGAATTAAATTAATTTTCTGTAATGTAAAATGTTATTATTCGTTTAAATGTGTGATTAAATAAAGAATCATTAAATGTTGCTCCTAGCAGTGTCTTGTAGCAGTGCCATAATAATTTGTTTTTGAAATATACAACGAAGTGTTAATATACATTTAAATAATTTGTTATACACATATTGATCCGCAAATTAAACTTATTTAGAAACGTATAACTATTTTGTTTACACGTTTAATACACGTAATTACGATAATCGTTTAAATATTGCAAATGGAAATATTTATTAATATTGAATGTATGAACTACAAATATTAAATTATAGAAAATTATGTCCTTCTTTAATAAGCAACTGCAGAATATTTATGACGGAGTCATCCATTTAATAAACACGAAGCTTTAAGCTATTATCACGCCGAGTTAGTTAAGTGGGACAAAATTTCCGATATTGAGTTTTGTGTCATCACGACGGATTAATTTACTCCGTGTCGGGCAAATACTTACACAGAGATCATTCGTAACGAGTGCATCTGTTTTTATGAATATCTTGCATGAAAAATTGATTATACGACATTATTTAATAATCTATAATATCCATACCCATATATTACAGCATAACGAAATAATTTTAATTAAAAGAATCTACTTTCTTCACGTAATAGAGATGATAATTATCTCCTGCGTTCAGGTTAAATCTGAGCACAGTATTTTTTATAAGCAATTAACGGTGGTCACAATTAACGAGATAATCCAACTGCGCAGTGCAAATAAAACAACGAACTCATTTATATTTATATCTGATTTATATTCGCAATCAGATATTTACGATTAAATTTCTATGTTTAAATAAAATTTGATATGAACTTATAAATTAATACGAATTTAATGAACTAATTTACCGAAATTAGATTTTAATAATAACTTGTTCATTTTATTAAAAGTTTTAATTTCGAAATGAACGAAAAGTCTTATTAAACTTTATTATCTATGTAATAATTTATAGTCCGCAGTCTAACTATAAATTATATACTTTACTATGTACCTATAAACTTACTTTCATACATAAGATAATTTACTTGCAATTTAACTTTAATACGTTGATTGCCACGGTGGTCATCGACGACCGAAGCTTCCGAATTGTTTGAGAGCGATTACAATAAGAAAATTGGTATTGAATCAAAATATTGAATAGTACAATTAGCTAAATAATAGTGTAACACAAGTATTGTCATACCAAATCATTAATAATAATTATTTCTAATGTCATTTCCCTTTGTTATGATGTGTCATTTAATTAATGAAGTACCCTGTAATTTATTAATTAAAAAGAAATCTATAAAATTTATAGACAAATTGTCATGAAAGAATCTTTATTACTGTACAAAACGCTTGAAATTCTCGTAGCAGTCAACGTGTTAATATATCCACCATCCACAGATAATAAATGAATTGAATATATTCGCCATTTTTTATTCGTTCGTGTAAATAACTTTTGCCGAACACTATATATAACGCGAAAAACGTAAACGAGATTCCCTTGCTGGCAAACGAGTTTGTAAACGCGAATAAGAAATGATGGATAGTAAATAACGATTAATTACATATTCGTTAATTAGTGTTAACACTAAATCTACTAAACAGGTCAAATTTACCCATTTCAAAATGTATAGTTCGCAAGCATTTAAATGATGACAAGGCTTTTGTGAAACATTATAAAATAAGTTTGTGTATTTGTACAGACACAACAATAAGGGACCCATTAAATCTCGAGAAACATGTGAGTTGCTCAAATGCAAATGTGGTTAGATCCATTTTTCAATATTTTCTGACTTTTAAATTTTAATTGAATAAATAATTTTCTTTTTAGTTATTAAAGGATTTAGTAATTGTTTTTTGGGTCTGAAAGTCCTTCGTTTTATAGCTTCTAAATATGTTATATAATAATTTCAGAAGCCAAAACATTAACTTTCTCAATCTTTGTTTTCTGCACTTAACCGCATTGGCTTCCGAGCGACTCATATTGTTCTAATTTTTATAAGAATTTAGAAACAAATCACTCCAATAGCTTGGTAGTGATAGTGTCAATTAGTGAACACCCATAAACAGCCAAATGTGTTTGTTTATTTCTAGGGGCTGAATCAAATACCAGTAACAATTTATGTAGTCCTGGCAGGCTTAGCATCTTTGGCAAGCGTTAGCATCGTCCTTATGTTCTACGTGCAGCGGAAGACCACACGGCGCCAACGTCAGAGCATAGAGGAACCGGAAGCCGGCGGTCACGAGGAAGACAAATCGACCTTACTTGGCGCCGAGAGCCAGGAAATCGAAGAGAAAGAGTAATCGTGATCCTGCGACATGAAAAGCATGTAGCTCGTAAGACTCGTATATTTTTACAACACTCACATCAGTTTGGTATAGGTGTCTTGCGTGAAAGGTTGAAGGGACGATCATGAGTATGTAAGTATATGGGGAAAAAAGACCGAACACTGTATAGATCCGTTTGGTTAAACGCTTGAGACTCTATTTAAGGAATTGACGACTAAGTGATTAACATTTTCATTGATTTTCATTCAGTTTTTACAGAGGGAGGTGGTTAAAACAGCATAAAACACTAATCAGTAAATATTTCCAAAAATATTAAGAATTTTTAAAAAATCTCGTCGGAAATTATCGAACTATTTTAGAAGATTCTTAAATTAATCTTGTTTTTCAGTTTTACACGTTTCGATGATGCAATTATTTTTCTATCATCCTTTTTTAGCAATAGATGGAAAAATGATGAAAATATATTATATTTGTACATATTTCATTATAATCCTACGGTTCCTTACATTAAGGAACACGCGTGGTTCACTTTTTAGCTATAGCCTACCTTGATCAATGAAGAAATACTCTATTTTTCATTTCGTTCGCGTATTGTACTTGATATATGAAAAATTCTTAATTTCATAGTTCGATGAAAGTGGCAGTTAAAGAACCTCGTAGAATGTGAAATCATTCCAATCATTGCCATTACAAGCAACATTAATTAATACTAATTAGAGCAGAGACTGTCAAACTTACATATCAACGAGGATTTGAGCATTTTCGAAATCAGTTCAAATTTATTTAACTATATTGTTCCACACCACTGATATCTTTGGAAATATTCACATGTCATGTTTTATACATCTCATTCATTGACGGTGAATATTGTTGTCGCGATGTTACTTAACACTTTACCTACCGGGATCCGATAAATCAGATTTTCAATGCCACTATTTACCGACTGGAATTTTTTTTAATTAATGTTTATCGAGTCAATTAATCCTTTGCACTCGTATGTCATGCTGGAGATGACAATACAAATTTGTTATACTTTATTTGCTGTACTTTAAAAAGTACCGTACTTTAAAAGATTCTAAAAATTAAATCTTACTCTAATAACAATAAATAAAATAAATATAAAACGCTGAATTCTACCGCTGTAAATTACTTTAATTCATTTGTCTAAAAATAACAAGTTTATATCCATCAATATTGAAAATAAATCGAGTACAAACGGTTAACATTGTATAAATTCTGTTATTATGCATGTATTGGTTGGTCTTATTATTAATTCTTCATATGTATCAAATATTTTGAAATTGTTCCCTTTTATAATGAATTTCATAACGTGTTTTCATTCCAGCAAATCGGTCGGTAAAGTGTTAAAATGAAACACGATTAACACTAGAACTAGCAAGCATTTAATATGACTTTATAATTATAGTAACCCTCATAAAAATTGTAATATATTTTTTTCGGTTTCCTCATATATTGATAGTATTCAAGTGAAACTATTGATTTTTCAAATTATTTTGAATATTCAACATTGGTATGATATGAATAATTGTGGTATAACAAATCTGAAACCCGTCATTTTAATGAGCTAGGCAGTTCTAGTGTTAATGTCGATAATATCTAGAACATCTCTATGCGACTTTTAAACTTTTGCTGGATTCCATGACATTTAGTGATCGGCGATCGATATCATGATTTTCACTTTTGATACAACAGATAACGAGTAAATCGGTACTAGGTATCGTAAATAATTTACAGCGATATTAATCCGTTATTGTTTCACGAAAGAATATAATGTGACGTTGTTTTGGAATTAAGCTTTGTGTGATACTGTGAAAAGCAGCTGTTAAAGTATGTAACTACATCTTGAGATACCTCTTTCCTGACTATGTAACGTTTTTGTAGTGATCGAAAA